CTCGACGGTGCGCATTCTAGCGGTGCTCGGGTCCAGCTCGTCGGATTGGTCGGGGTCCTTTCTCTCCCAGCTACCTAAGTTTACTAACACAAATCAATGTTTAATGCGCTGATCAAAAAAAAATAATATAATAAATAATAGTGAGTGTACGTTAATATCCTAGGCTGCGCCGACACGCATTTGAAAGAATTGGTAAATTATAGAAAATTTATATCCGGTGAAGAGATCAAAGATGTTAGTTGTCCCCTACCTCTACCCACCCAACCACAGATGCACAGATTATTGTTCTACTACTGAAGTTTGTGTGAGATAAGCATAAGTACTCGACCGATTGAGATATAAATAATTTAAGCCATCATGATCATTTTTACAATTAGGTACAGAGATTCCATTTTAATTTCGATATTCAATGACAAAACAAAAAGAGTAACAATTATTTGAATTAAGTTATGACGCTGCAATACGTTTTGGGGCACTTGTCAAACTGCACCGGTTTTTCTTTAGAGGCCGGAACAGGGAAAGGGTTCCTTATAGGGGTGAATCCAGCTAACCGCTACAATTGCCTATAATCTCGTGTAGTCGTAGGCGTAGTAGGGTAGCTCGTTCACTGGTAAAAAAAAAATGGTAAATGTCACTATTTTACCATTGTTCCATTTATTTTTCCCAGCGGGGTCCTCTCGCATCAGAGGTAGATGCCTTACCTATTGATCCATCGCACCATGTTACGCGCGAGTAGATAAGTTCAACTTAAGTGTAAAGTTAAAACGATCCATAACTCATATAACTTTTTAAAACCAAAAATGCTACTTCTTACTTATTCATTTTATGAAAATTTAATTTAATATTATTTGAATCTTGACTTTCAAAATAATTGTGTCAAATAAACGATTTATTCAAAATAAATGGTTTATATTCCGGATAAATTGCGAAAGTATTTAATCGGATCAGAAAAAACATTGATTATACTATGTATATAACCTACTATTTATAATAATAACGAGGACGGAAGCTAACTTCGGCAAGCCGAAGTTTTTATACCCTTGCAGATTTGACTAATGAAAACTTGACTAAAATAGCAACATGAATTAATAAACAACAAAATATTCAAAATTAAAAAAAAATACAAATTTAAAATTTTTCACCCTATTGTTCCTATGGGAGCTATATGATATAGACGTCCGATCGGCACGCGCTTTTACCCTGATCAAAGTACGCACAAAAAAATACGATTTGGAAAGTTTCATGGGAATAGCTTATATTTTGCGCGAAATATCCTGAAAAACTTCAATTTTGACCGATTTCACCCTATTGTTCCTATGGGAGCTATAAGATATAGACGTCCGATCGGCACGCGCTTTTACCCTGATCAAGGTATGCGTAAAAGAACAAGATTCATGTCAAAAGCTCTTACACTGAGCGAAATATCTTCATTTTGGGAAAGCTATATCCGATTGTTCCTATGGGAGCTATAGGATATAGACGTCCGATCGGGTCGGCTTTCAAACTTGATCTGCGTACACATGTTTTAGGACGACTGTGAAAGTTTCAAGGCGCTAGCTTTTAAACTTATTGAAACAGACGGACAGACGGACAGACGGACAGACGGACATGGCTATATCGACTCCCCTATCGATCCTGATCAAGAATATATATACTTTATGGGGTCGGAAACGTCTCCTTCACTGCGTTACAAACTTCTGACCAAAATTATAATACCCTCTGCAAGGGTATAAAAACTAATATTGCGACTTTCGTTTTCAACATCAGTAATATCGTTTCAAATCACTATGGACGGCAGTCCATGTAGTGACGAAGCGCACCAGGAGAGTGTGCGAAGGCGACTACTATATATACACGAAGAAATGAAAATCTGCTGTGATGGTCCGATCATAATGAATGATACACCTATCGAATGGTATTGCAAAAACTTAAAGGATTGCATACCAAGACTTTAAGAAAATTAATTGGCTTGGGAGAGAGAGCGGTGAAAGTGAAAAAGTGAAAATTTCGAAATTTGGAGCTGTTGGGGCTGGTGGGGATAAATGCCCCCTCGCAATGTTTTAGTTGTATTCCTTTTGAAAATCCGACGCTCCGTTCAAAAGTTATAGCCAAAATAAGATTTCCTCCTTCTTCCCAAAATGAAAATTAAATTCTGTTTGTCAGTTTGTCAGTTTGTCAGTTTGTCCAAAACATGTTTTTTAAGTTTTGAAAATTTGATATGACGTTCATCACATCGATATAAAAAACTTTTGTTCTACCATTTTTTGGGAAAACTCGCTAGTTTAGCGGGAAAACAGCTATAAGTAGCTAAAATTCGGAAAGCCGTAACTTCTATACTACTAAAGCTACAGGCTTGTAGCTTGGCTTGGCTGCATCTCGTTTGAAAGGTATTTTTAAATGCTATAAACGCCTTCTATATGCAATTTGTGTAAATGTAATAGTTAAAAAAATATGAACAAAAGACAATTTTTTAAAACTTTTTTTAAGCTTTTTTTTATTTTTCTCAAAAACGGCTCTAACGATTTTCTTTTAAAACCTTAAACTGTATAGCCCTTGAGATTCCTTAAATTTTGGTATATAACACATTACTGTAAAAAGTCACGTTTAAAAGTTATTTTTATACGAAAATAGCCACTTTTGCAAGCTCGAACTACTAACGCTCCCTGAGTATTGAATTTTGTGGGAGGGTATCCGAACTGTATTTTAGGGTCATGGAATCAGTAAATTTGCACTTAAGAGTTCCATATAGGAATCTTTTGTTCTACGACTTTTGGAAAAAGCCGCTACTTTAGCGGGAAAAAGCTAAAAATAGCTAAATTTCGTTAGTTTGTAAGTTCTACACTACTAAAGGTACAGACATGTGCTATACCTCGTTTAAAAGGTATTTTGAAATACTTCAACGCCTTTTTAACTTAATTTGTTAAAATACAATAGTTTAAAAATTATGATTGACCAATTTAAATTTAAATGTATATATTAGCTCCTATGAGAGCAAATGTATACAAACAAAAACTTCTGATATCAAATAAAAACACCTCTTAACGAGGTAAAAAACTAGTGACGATCGCACCTTCAACATACAAAAGTTCTGATATCAACATTTGTGACGAAAAATTATTACACTCGTCATTAAATACACTTTCTAATATTTTCTCATTCGGCACGCTGCAATAGAAAATGCCTGTGAAGGGAAAAAGGCTGGAATAGTTTGCTAGGGCGGGCCGAATGAAGAAAATATTAGAAAGTCTATTTAATGACGAGTGTAATCATTTTTGTCACAAATGTTGATATCAGAACTTTTGTATGTTGAAGGTGCGATCGTCACTAGTTTTTTACCTCGTTAAGAGGTGTTTTTATTTGATATAATTCTCTTCAGTTTCATTATTTTTATATTTGAACGAAGGTTCAAATAAGCTTTTTATTAAAATCAATGATTTATTTATTTGATTTAACTATGAAAAGTAGTAAATGAAATCAACTAAAAAAATATTTGATTTCACTATGCGTTTTTTTTACCAGTGTAGTATCGGTGATCTACGCGGTCTCTGTCATTCATTAGCGAGGGCAGACCGAAATGTTTGTAAATTTATGTACCTAAGTTGGACACTACAGTTTGCAACGCAATTGAACACCCTAAATGTATAAGTAAAATGCTTCACACCAATTTTATTTTATAGGTATAAGGGACGTTCCATATCAACCCGGCCAACCCCCTTTTTTTTAAGTGGACATTGGTTTCAAAGTGGGATCTCTCTTGGGGAATTAGCTATGATACTATAGCCATGTACTTTTAAGTGTTGTCAAATTTTAAATAGGTCAAGGCACGTAATTCAAAATGACGGCAAACATCGGTTTTTTGTATTCTTATCACTGGCAAAAAAAAAATGGTAAATGTCACTATTTTACCATTGTTTCAATTATTTTTCCCAGCGAAATAGATCCTAACATGAAAATAGTAAAATCGTATATGGCGCATAGTTAATAATGTTTTAAATATTTTTTTAGTAAATTCGAAGATTTTTGTATTTGATTTTACTCTTTTCTTTACCCAGAATCTTTGAATTATAATTTACAAATTTGTTTTTTTCGAGTAAGCGCCTAAAATATTTACTTTAATTTTAAGAATGAAGTTTTTTAATGTCATTACAATCAAAAATATTACTGTGAACTTAAAAGGAGCATTCTGCCTCAATAGGATATTATACGGGCATGGCTCAGGGGTCAAGGGCAAGGTTCTGATACTATTTTGTGCTCGGGAGTACCAGGTTCTAGTCCCGCTGACACCACAACTTATTTTTTTTTTTTAGTAATTAGTAATCTTTAAACTTTTTTAATACAATATTGCTTTTAAAAATGTTAAATATGCTTCTTAAAAACTTTTTACTCACACTCTGCCTCAGACAGGTTTCGAACCGGGGTCCTCTCGCATCAGAGGTAGATGCCTTACCCATTGATCCATCGCACCATGTTACGCGCGAGTGGATAAGTTCAACTTAAATGTAAAGTTAACACGATCCATAACACATATTACTTTTTAAAATAAAAATGCTACTTTTCACTCATACATTTTATGGAAATTTAATTTAATATTATTTGAATCTTGACTTTCAAAATAATTGTGTAAAATAAACTTTTTATTCAAAATAAATCGTTTATATTCCGGATAAGTTGCGAAAGTATTTAGTCGGATCATAAAAAGACATTGATTATACTATGTATATAACTAACTATTTATAATTATAAAAACTACTATTGCGACTTTGGGTTTCAACATCAGTATTATCGTTCCAAATATAATTCCCTTCGATTTAATTATTTTTATATTTGAACGAAGGTTTAAATATGCTTTTTATTAAAATCAATGATTTATTTATTTGATTTAACTATGAAAAGTAGTAAATCAAATCAACTAAAAAAATATTTGATTTCACTATGCGTTTTTTTTACCAGTGTAACGATTCTATTTCACTGGCTCACTTTGATAATAACGTCAAATTCAGAGCAATTATTTTTCAGTTTAAGGAATATCATGGCGCAGATCGGGTCAAATTTTTCATAGCTTTTTAGTTTAACTCTTTTCAAAAGAGTCTTTTGGCTTTAAAATTATCCGTTGCCTTTTAGCAGCAAAATTAAAGGAAGTATGTTAAAACGAGCCTCATTGGCTTTGTGCCACTACCCGGATGCTTGTTTCCGGGCCTGCAATTGCTGCAGGTGCATCCGGATGTATAACGCAGTTACACTCGACGAGGACCTGAAAGCTGTTCAAAAATCGAACCAGGACTATTGGAGAGCGCCGCTAAGACTGCGAAATGAGATTTCCCAGGAAGGTGGGTTATTACTGAGGTTAAACCAATTCAAATTAACAACTTGACCAATATATGTCAAGATGATTGGTTCTGTTTCATATTACAGTTTTAAAGTTTTTTTTTTTTGTTTAGGCACCAGTGATATTCATTGCCCACGACCCGATCAGCCGTTGCGATGTGCATTCCTGGGGGATCTGGAGCAGCTGCTGAAGCAAAGAATGCTCAATGCCAAGTTCTCCGACCTTGAAATGTCCTTGAAACGGGAAGTTAATCCCGAAACAGCCAGCTCCGCCGATGGATGCGAAAATGGATGCGGAGGAGGCAAGAGTGTGGGTAAAAAAAAAGGGGAAAAAGTGTGGCAAGGGTGGTGGAAAAAAGGGTGATGATGGGGAAGACGACACGGAGCAGCTCAAAAAGCGGTGCAAACAGTTCAAATCCGAAAAAAAGCTCAAAAAGTGCAGAGAAAAGGCCGCAATGAAAAAGTGCAAGAAAGCGAACAAGGCGAAAAAATGTCAGAAAAAGGCGGAAATGGAGCAGTGCCTGAAGTGCATCAGAAAAGAAAGAGGAGAAAGTGAGGACGAAGCGAACGAAGAGGAGAAAACGGAGGACAAAGAGGAAGGGGAAGAAGAGGAAGGCGGTGAGAAAAGCAAGAAATGCCCCGACGAGGAGGCAGAGCTGGAAAAGCTAAACAAACAAATCCAGAAATTGGCCGATCAACTCAACTGTGAAAAGTTGGCCAAAATAGAGGCCATTAAGAAAGCCTGTCGCGAGGAGAAAGAAAGGCAGGAATGCGCCCGAAGAGCGGAAGAGGCCAGGAAGAGAGCGGAAGAAGAAAGAAGGCGGGCAGAAGAGGAGGCAAGACGACGTGCCGAGGAGGAGGCCAAAAAAGGGCCGGAAGAGGATCTGTGCGAAATAAAGAGACAGTGTGCCAAGATGGCCAAGGAGCAGCGGCTGAAGGCGAAGGCCGCTCAGAAAAGACTCAAGGCCCTTGCCGAAAAGGCCAAGTTCAAGAAAATGAAAGAGCAGTGCAAGAAAGTCGCCGCAATTCAAAAGTGCCGCAAACAGGCCAAAAAGGATAAGGCCGCCAAAGCTAAGGCAGAATGCGAAAAGGCGGCAAGAGAAGAGGCCGCCAGGCTCAAAGCCTGCCGAGAAGCTCAGGAGGCGAAGAGAAAAGCTGAAAACGATCTGAACGCAAAGAAAAAAATGTGCGAAAAAGTCAATAAACAGAAACAACCAAAGAAAGTTGACGTATGCGCAAAATACAAATTCGATGAAGAAGTCGAAGAATGCCTCATAGAATGCCCCGGCGAAGCTGTGAAAGTGGCAAAAACCGCAGTTAAGGAGGAACTCAAAAAGGAGGTCAAAAAGGAAGTCTCTGCTACTCCTCCTCCCCCACCTCCACCCAAAGCTGCAGCCCCACCCCCTCCACCACCCAAAGCTGCAGTAACACCTCCTCCCCCACCTCCACCACCCAAGGATCCCAACCGACTCTTCCAGATATGCAAGAAGCTAGCCGAAAGCAAGATAAGACAAAAGAAAAAGAAAATCAAGGCGCTACAGGCCAAATGCAAAAAAATTGTTCTAAAGGAACAGTGCAAGTGCGAAAAGAAAGCCAGGAAGGCCAAAGAACTGGAGAAGTACTGCAAGAAAAAGAAGAAGTAGACGTTGTACAAGTACCTTGGTTCTAAATTCTCAGACCTCCCATCAAAATTTAGTCCCGCAAAGTTAACAACTTTGGCTGTGCCCTCGTAATAATTCTTCTTTAATTTTTGTGTTTTATTACGATTATAGTCGTACATCAATTTCAGGCACTATTGCTGGCTTATAAAATGAGAAAAATAATTTTGAGCAGCGTAATTGCATTTTTGAATCGGAATTGACTAAATTGTGCGTATATACGATTGTTTATTCAGATGCAGTCAAAAGGGTAAAGAATAAAATTCCTTCTTTTAAGTCCCTAAAGTACAAAAATAAGAGGTATATATAACAATAACAATCTTTAGATTGGATCCAAGACAGATTTGATACTTTCCACTAATTAATCAAGTAATGGTTTCAATTATTAAAAATATATTTGTATGTAGGTATACTATAACGAATATAACAATGAAAACTGAATTCAAATTATATCTTATTATTTTTTGCAAGTTCACCTTTTGACTGCAGCAGTTTGTGCTTTCTTTTTGGACGGAAAGCTTTTATTCAATAAATGCAAAGCCGATCAAAATTACGAAAGAAAAGATTCCTCTTCAATACCCCATATCTTATATCATTTAGTCATCAAACTTCCAGAGGCAACTAGAAAAAAAATTTGAGTACAATTCGCTCTGTTGTGAGCTCGCGTAAAAGTTTAACTATTGTAGAATATCATTGTTTGAGAGATTCGTTCATTGGTTCGCTGGCGGTGCAGTGGCATTGTTGAACTGGAAGGTCGGATAGCGGGGAGCGAAGGCTCCGTCACCGATTATCTGCGTATGCTCAGAGTCGTCGCGTCCAGCGATGGTCGGCGCCTTGTACTGGGTCTCCACAAACTGTGGGGGCGCTGCAAAAATTTATAAAACTTTATTAGTACAGAGTTTTATCATATGTTAATAAGCTCGAAGAGCTTCAAAAACAAATTTAATTTAAGCTTAGTATATCAATAAAAAGCTAACGAAATGAAACGATTTTATTATCGGATATAGGGGAGAGGTCTGAGGGTTAAGACGGTCTGTAAGTTAAGACACTCAATTTTCTCAAAACTTATCCACTAAAAAAATTGTTTTTATTTTTTTTTTAGTCCTTTTTAGTGACAAAACTTTTGGGGAAAACATTATAAGCCAGGCTCTAGCCAGATTAAAGCTGTGAGAGTCGTGTACCATTTTTCACCAAAAAGTTGTTGTCTACTTTTTTCAAAATTCCATTTAAGATTAATAACGTCCTTAAATTAACTTGGTAAGAAAACATTAGTATATTAACTGTTAACTAATAAAAAAAGAATCAGCTTAATGTGACAGTCAGAACAAAAGCTATTAATTTTTTCCCGAAACATCCTATTTTGTGTAAGTTGAGACACCCGTTTTTCATACAAAAAGGCCTAGTACATTTCTTTGATATTAGGGGAAAAGTGAATGTTCAAAGAGCCTTTTGATTTTAATTGTTATTTGGTCTAAGTTCTTAAAAAATGGATGGGAAATAATTTAGGATGAACTAAAATTGATTAAATTAACATAAATAAATAGTTCCTTATAGTTTGGAGTACTTTTTGTGTGAGTATTATTGACTTTTAAAAGTGTCTCAACTTACAGACCTCTTTTTCAAAATGTCGTTTTTTGGGACTTTTCAAAAAAAATATTTTTTCAGTTTTCCCTAAGAAATAAAATTTTTTTTTTGTGTTTTTTATTAAGCTACTAGACTAACCTTTCGATCAGTACCAAATGCGTAAAGTTTCATAAGTGAATGTCGAAATGGCAGATTAAAAACAAAAGGTGTACCAACCTACAGTGGCTCACAGCTTATTTCTACCAGTCTACACCAAAAACTTTAACAGCCCATAAAAACTAAACAAAACATGTTATCAAAATAATAATAAACGCAGAATACATCTATGATGATACACATTAGTGTATAATAATGTTGTGATTTTTTTAAATATTTTACAAATATTTTTTATGAATTAATCAAAAAAAGCCCAAAAAAACGACAGATTATTTCAACCAGTTAACAAAAAAAATCGAATAAATTAACATAGTGGCCAATATTTTTTTTTTAATTTGGCAGGACCCTTTTGTTTACCAACAATTTAAAGTTAACTTTACATGGATACAATGCCTTTTGTTGTTGTTTTTAAGTTACAACTTCTCTCGACCCTTAGGAAGGACTTTTGGCATAGTTTCGTCTAAAAATATTGTGTTTTCTAACATTTTTTCGTTAAGTGGACTTCCAATTTTGTTTTGTGGTAATGTTAAGACACATTTAATTCATAATCATTAGCTTGCGACAGCTCTGGATGAGCTGAATCTGCGTAAGAATATGCACTTCCCATGGGTCATTTCTTTAGTTAAATCAAAAATTAATTTATATTTCAAAATCCTTGCAGTTTTTAATTCATTTATCCTTTTGAATGTGAAGATGAACTCAAATCTTAATCGCGGAGTAAAAATAGAAATTATGGAAGGACCTGTTTAACACTTATAGGCCCAAAACAATTAGCGTTCGCCGTTAGACTTTAAAATAGCAATTTGACTTCCCAATTTAGGCTGGTCATTGGGATTTTCTCCGCTTAGATATATTTTTATACCCTTGTAGAGGGTATTATAATTTCAGTCAGATGTTTGCAACGCAGTGAAGGAGACGTTTCCGACCACATAAAGTATATATATTCTTGATCAGTACCAATAGCCGAGTCTATCTAGCCATGTCCGTCTGTCCGTTTTTATGCGAACAATTCTCTCAGTTTTAAAGCTATCGCGATGGGAAACTTTTCCGAAGGTCTTCTTTCTATTGCAGGTAGTACATATGTATGTCGGAGCCAGCCGGATCGGACCACTATATCTTAAGGCTCCCAATCAAATATAACAAAATTCATTTTAACTTTGTAGGAAGTAGGCGTTTTGATTCTTGACTATTTAAAAACAAAATTGAAATAAATCGAAACGCTGAATCTGGAATCCCTGGAACTGCACCGAGTGAGTATTCTTTTTTTTTAATAGAAGTAGTATTCTTTTATTAAAGGGTATACTGGCCGAAGATAGCTTCCTTTCTTGTTCCGACTCAAATGTATCAAAATTCAAGTATTTCTTTCAAATACATTTTTTCAAACATAAAAAGGACACTAATAAGTGAGTTTCTCGTGTGTATCCAAATGAGCCCTACGCCTAGCGGGAAGGCTAATTGTTTTGGGCGTATAAGTGTCAAACAGGTCCTTCCATAATTTCTATTTTTTTACTCCGCGATTAAGATTTGAGTTCATCTTCACATTCAAAAGGATAAATGAATTAAAAACTGCAAGGATTTTGAAATATAAATTAATTTTTGATTTAACTAAAGAAATGACCCATGGGAAGTGCATATTTTTTCGCAGATTCAGCTCATCCAGAGCTGTCGAAAGCTAATGATTATGAATTAAATGTGTCTTAACATTACCACAAAACAAAATTGGAAGTCCACTTAACGAAAAAATGTTAGAAAACACAATATTTTTAGACGAAACTATGCCAAAAGTCCTTCCCAAGGGTCGAGAGAAGTTTTTACTTGAAAACAACAACAAAAGGCATTGTATCCATGTAAAGTTAACTTTAAATTGTTGGTAAACAAAAGGGTAGTCATGCCAAATTAAAAAAAAGTTATTGGCCACTATGTTAATTTATTCGATTTTTTTGTTAACTGGTTGAAATAAGCTGTGGCCTTTTTTTTAGGCTTTTTGTAATTAGGCTTTTTTTTTTTTATAAAAAATATTTGTAAAATATTTAAAAAATCATAACGTTATTATACACTAATGTGTATCATCATAGATGTATTCTGCGTTTAAATTATTTTGATAACATTTTTTGTT